ATACCCTGAAAAACTGAGCCATCGCTTGCTTTTGGGGAGGAATGACCAAGGAATTTGGCCAGCCCCATCAAAAGCATTGGAAGGGGGAGCTGATTCAACTGCACAACTGGCTGCCAGCTGTTGTCCCTCCATTAGAAGCATCATGCTCACAATCGGGGCGTTGGCCAACTTCAGGATTTGGTCAGAAAGGACAAAACAGCTGAGCCTACGAATTGGCTACTAAAAACGAGACCAAGCTGGCCAGCCTGGATCTCCAATAGGAACAAGAACGGCCCTGACGGATCAGGCCAAGGGCCTCCCTGGTCCAGCCCCTAGTGCCCCAAAATGGCCAACCAACCGTCCCCGACGGGATGAACCGCACAGGGGGAGCACGGGCCCAACGGTGGGCAGCAGCAGAATACGCACTGTCCGCTCACAGCCCTCTCCCACGCTCACGTGGGTAGACCTCTATAGCCCCACAGAAGCAGACCCGAAGGGGGACCCTGAAGCTACCTTCCTCACCAAGGACGTCCACATGCAAAGAGGATGTTGCGTGTGGTGGTAAAGGCCCCAATCCTCTCTTTCCAGCCTCACTCAGCATGTGAAAATGTGATTAAAAAATACATATACATATCTATATCTATATCTGTATCTATCTCCAATAGATGGCAGCAGACATTCACTTCTGGGGGAAGAGAAAGTTACACGAAATCCTCAAGTGCTCCTTTCTATCCTAGGCGGGTAACCACCTGAAGCCCAGAACCTGCAGAGGAGACCTCCTGACGGTTCTCCTGAGGATGCAACTCTTTTCCTCGCCCAGGTCAGGAAAGGGACGCAGCCCAACCCCGCCTCTCGGTCATGCTTAAATAAGTAGGGCAGAATTACTGAAAAATCGATAAATAAATCCGACCACCTTGCATCGGTTCACATCAGAGAGAGGCTCAACTGCAGCGTTTTCAAGGGGAGGGGGGTACCGCCCGTTCTCCGGCCTGGAGCTGCGAAGTCCTTTCCTTTCTGCCCTCCTGCAATGTTCCTTTGGTCAAGAATTCCAGAAGCGGGATCTCCCATCGCGTCAGTCTTCTTCCAGTTGACTTCATGGCACGTCCGTCTGGTTTCCTCCCCAGCGGCAGCGGCAGCGGCGGCAGCAGCAGCAGCAGCAGCAGCAGCAGCAGCAGGGAAGTGGGTGGCCTCCGATTTCTCCTGGGGAGTTCTCTGACTCCCCAGCCTTGCCGCCGCCTCACATCCGTGGATGGGCCGGGCTCTGTCCTGATCAGCCTTCCGGCCCAGACAAGGCCCTGCTGGGCTCAGCTTTGCGGAGTCGTGTCCGGGAGCCCGCCTGACCAGCCTGGCAGACCTGCAGCTCAGCTACTGGCACCAAAGGCTAGAAGGCGGCGCCACCCGTGGAAAGGCCCTCGCGTTCCCGAGATGCCTGAAGCCAGAAAAGGGAGACCTTTTTTTCTCTGAACTGGTTTTATTGGAGACGGCAGGACAAGGTAAGTCCGGTTTAAACACCAAGTTTATGAAAACTGTAATAAAAAGTTATGGAGTCCAACTGGGGAAGGATCATCGTTGCTTAAATAACGTACAGAGGATGTAGAAGAAATTGTACAGGGAATCGAGTCAACCAAAATGTCCGGACTTAAAAATAAATAACATAAAAATGCCTCTGAGTTAAAACATAATTCTTGGATTTTGTTTAATACTTCTGAAGATAAAAGTAACTGAATGCAGTACCAAAATAAAACTTTGATTTTAGTTTAACACTCTAAAAAAATTAACAAATTATTAGATGCTCTAATATTCAGTAGTGCTAAACCACATAATATTTACATCATGGAATATACCAGCAAGCACAAAAAAATTCCCTATGTTCTTTTGGATATACATACATTTTTCAACATTTTTAGATATATTTCTCCCATTTTTGTGTAATACTGAAAGTAAGCAATATAACCTTAAGATTTTCAAAAATGTATATTACTGTCAACGTTTTTTTATCAGTTCTTAACCAGAAGTCCTTTCTCTCTACAGCACAGTTGAAAATACATTTCCTTCCAAAACTGTACTTAAGAGTACGCATACATCGTAACTCAAGATGGTCAAGGTGCTCGAAAGCAGATCTCCAACAGTGCATTGCCCAAGGAGGAAAAACTGTAAATTGCAATTTGCCTTCAAGAGATGCTGCACGGATGTGCTATGACGGGAGCTCTTAACCTTTTCCAAATCAGTGGGGTTACAACAACGGCCCAAATCCTACGGGAAGGGCTGGTTTCGCAGGAAGTCGCTCAAGCAACCGATTTCGCTTCGCCTGGCCCACAAACGAGCTGCAACTTCTTACAGACGGACAAGAAAACCATTTTGAAGTTGTGCTGTGATTGGCGAAACTCTGGACAATCCCCAGTGGAACATTCTACGCCCCCCAGGCCTCCAGAGCCGGGACATATTATTTTTTCAAGCCAACCCGGTCACCTTACGTTCCCCTTCGCTTCTGCACAGGTGCACAGAACTTGCTAAAACAGATGCACGAAACAGCGTTTTGCACAGGCCCCTGGAGAGCCAGCAGATGGGCCTCTGGCAACCAACGGGGGCCCCACACAACACCCCCATCCTTCCACTTTGGGCCCCCTGGAAGGGGGAGGGGGCCTTCACACTAAGGTCAATACAGTGCTTACACCAGGAGAAGCCACTGGTCCAACCCTAAACCAAGGACAGATGGCCAGATATTATTCCCTTGGAAAACTGACCGCCGGAAGGGGCCTTCGCAGTCCAATGCAAACAGGACTCAGCCCCCTGTTCTTTCTCACACACATCCATTCCAGGTAAAAACAGTAGATATCATCATCATCGCAATGTTCTTCCAACATCGCCAGAGGCTCTAAAATGCATTTTTGTGCTTTAAAAATATGAAAAA